TGACATATAATAAGTCCACAATTGACTTTGTACTTTACGCAATTCTAATATCATTTTAACATCAGAAGTAAAATCCTTAGAAGGATTTATCAAAAATTCTATTGTATTACTAATATCACCTAACACTTCTTTAACCGATACAATAGGTCGAACTGTTATTTTCTTATTAAGTTCTTCAGATTCTTCATTAGAAGGATATACCATTTCCACAATTTCTTCATCTGTCAGGCCTCCTCCAGTCATTACATTATTATCAACATTAATATATTCTTTTACTGTCATTAGTTCTTTAAAGTTTAGTTTATCAATTAATTGTTAAACACTCTCAATATCTGATTTGATTTCTGCTAACAGTTCCCCTAAATCTGATAGAATATCAGTTTTACACCAACAATTTTTAATTGTATCCTTTTTAACTAATTTCCATGCTTCAATACAAAAATTAATTGCATTCAAAATATTAACTGACATAATGGCTGTTTGAAGTTTGGTAAACCATTCATATATATCAATTCTATTTCTCATTAATAATTGTCAATATTGTGCCTAAATACAAATTAATTAAATTAGTTTATATTTAAATTAATAATAATAATTAAATTAACATTACTTTGAAAGAATGAATTATGCTCGTATTGCATGGCTGCAGATATGCAGTCATATTAGGTGGCAAATAATGAAGCTTAATATTTGTTAGATTTTTGATATTCGAAATTATATATATTAAAGCATTATCAATTAAAAGCAGAATATTACAATTGTATCTTTTTATTAAACTATTAAAATTTTTAAGATAATCATTAAAAATGCTAGTTTGCATCCAGACTGTAAAATTCCAATAATATTCAATTGCTAGAGAGCTTTTATCAATTCCACGAAGTGGGTGAGGAGTTTTATACTTGTGAATAAACAATGGAGGAAGTTTCTCAGTTCCTAATACATTATACATCAACAGAATCATTACTTGATTTTTAGACTTCTTGGTACTTGTTAATGGTTTTGTTGCCAAACTTTGATTAGGTTCCAATTGCCAATATAATACTATATAATAGAATCTATAAATAATAGCTGATAGGAATAAATTAATATAAATACTTACCAGTCTCATCACAATTGAATATGTCTTGGTGATTATAATTACTTATTATGTCATGCAACTTTGCACATTATTCTTCGAGACTTTCTTGAGGAGCACTGTTTCCTTCACCAGATTTTAAGTATGACTGTATATTATAATAATGTTTAAAACCTAAGATCTAGCTAGCTGATCCGTAAAATGATTAATGTTAAAGTGAACAGCAAAATCCTTTGCTTTTTGCTTAAGAATGTCAGTAGTGATAGTAATATGGTTGTTAACTGCTATATTAAGCCAGATAGCTAATGCAAATTCAATTTGAGGATAGGATAAGGGTTGGATTTTCTTTTTCTTAAATAAAGGTACATTATCATCAATAGAAAGCCATTTATCTTTATTGCACCAAATATCAGAAATTGTATTTTGCATAACTCCATACTGCTCTGCCAAGTTGTTTTGTTTAGGTCATGGTTTTTGAATTAATGCAAGGCATATCTCTTTCATTTGAATTGCCGTCAACAAGTCTTTTTATTTTTTTATAGTTTTTGACATGATATTATCTTTATTTTTTTGTTTCATGATACATATATCAATATGCAAATATTAATACATACTGTATATAGTATAGTGGGCTTCATTATAATAGGCCAATTTTAGATTCGGAATTATGAATACAAATTCAGGAAAGGTAAGACAAAAAAAAATCAAAAACTTTGCATTTTACTTTATAAATTCAAAGTAATTTGATAATCCGCAAAGTAATTTTGGAAGTTAAATAAGAAGCACTTTATTTTATCTTTGAATAGGATATACTTTAACAAAAAGATTGAGATCTGTGCTTGGTAAACAATTAAGAATCACACATAATTTTGGCAATAAATGAAGATATTAAGTATTGATTCTATAACTATTAAACATTGAAATTATTTTTTTTACTTATTAAATTATCTTGCTTTTAATATATTGGCCTAAGCTCTTGCACATTAAGAAAGTGAATGTTGAAATGTGAATGAAAGACAAGTGTTAAATATGTAAAGAGTGTAAACATAAGAGGGAACGTGAAAGCTCACTTGAAATTGCTGAGACAGAGACCTTAGTGGTAGTTATTTTATGCATACTTAAAAGTTTTTTTTTTTCTTTTTTTTCTATTCCTCCTTCAACTTATTTCTTTTATTTTATTTTTTCTTTCAGACTCAAACTGAAAGCGACAAAATAACAGTTCGATCAAAAAAGTAAAATTTTTTTGTAATTTGATGTTTTACAAATTTTACTAAGGAAAATATGAATCGATCAGGCAATATGACAAGGTTGCTAAAACATAGAGGAAAATTTTTCGAGGACACCAGGCAGCGAGATAATGAGAACTTTACAAAAAAGAATAAAGGTGGCCATCACAGCTCCAGTTAATGTTGCTACTGTAATTATTTTGGTGGTCTTTTCTTTTTGAATAGCATAAGTAATCTCATCTGCCAAGACTAAATGCTCCTTTGCATCCATATTACCAATTTCTACTGTTTTACCATTCATTGCAATAATCACTGATTTGAGAAGAGTAGCTTGTCTGCCAATTATATTTTCAGTTAAACAAACTACAGCCACAATATTTATTTTTAGTTAAACAAACTATAGCTACAACATTTATTTTTAGTTTCCATTTAGCCAACAAAAAATTAATTATTCAACTAACAAAAAATTGCAAGAAAGTCTTTATTGCAATGGTAACATTTAAAAATTTACTATGAAAGAAAAGCAATTATTATTTATTCTGAAAGTAATTTATGAAATGGAAAAAAAGGGGCTAGATTTTACTTGCAAAAAGAGTAGAGACAATAAAAGTCAATGCATATGGCAATAGAGAATAAGAGTCTTCAAGAGTCATTAATGTTGACTTATCAGCCAATGAACTCCTATCAATAACACTGCCTGGTAACAACAGAGAAATTGTTGAGAAATCTAGTAATACATCTGGTAACAAAAAATCAGTGTCAAAAAACATTGCTTCCAGCGAAGGTAGAATTTCGCCGGTCAACTCATCAAAAAAGTATATAGCAACCAAATTGTATATAGACAATGATTCCAAGGCACGAGAGTTTTGCAGTTTATTCCAAAACAAAAAATAATGATAAACCTATGTTGTTAAGGCACCAAAGTTTTACAGTCATTGAACTAGCACAAAGGAATGAGGCTTACAAATTCGATTCCAGTAAGATGGCTAACAACAGTTCTGAAAATGCAGAAAAATTACATGAGTTGGAAATAAAACAAGTAGATAATTCATCTACTGTAGAGTCAGATATAAAAGTTGATAACACAGAAGGTTTGGATGAAAATGGTTCAACAATACAATAATCATTGCAATGTTTTATAGAGAATTCAAATAAAACTTCCAACTTAAGAGTTGGTACCAAAATAGCGAGCAAAAAAAATCTTAATAACAATTTAACTTCAACTGGTCAAAATATTAAAACGTTTAGTAGTGATTATATACTGGCAACCACCAAAATATTTGGTAGTTCGATTTTGAGCACGTCTCAATTATAGAACAAAATAAGTTCTCAATGCAAATTTGACCACTCGAAGAATATTTGATGTATATAGTGTTTCAATAAGTAAATATTTCAATTAATATTTTGCTTGAAGTCACTTGGATTTTCAAATTACATGTCTTCTCTGCTAAATAAAAACATATTTGGTTCAGAATTCATAAACACTGGAGATTCATTGATGGGGAAATTTGTCACTCAAGAATCTCTTGCAACTTTAATTTTCAATGATACTTTATATAATAAAAATAAAAATAATAGAGAAAGTGACATCAAAAATAGAATGTCTTTTGGAATGGGAGTGAAATCCTTGCTACAAGAGAAAGAAGGTATGATCGATCAGTGTTATTATTGGTAGATTACTTTTTAGGAATCATTGTTAGATTCTAGCTCATGAATCTTAAAATTTAGTATTAACTGGAGAAGAAAATGAAATTATTTGATACTTGGTTAGAGCTAACTTCGTAGATTTATTCTTGTGCAGACATTTTTTTATTTTTTTTTTTTTGCTAGATAATATAAAACAATTTAATGAACTTTATTAAATATCAATATATTAATTAACATTCTACAATTGTTACACGAAACTTAATTTTGTTAACCAATAAAAACCAAAAATAAACCAATCACAATGAAAGCCTGCTATGCTACTATATATAATAACTGAGACAAGTTGATTGGCCAATTTTGGTATTGCACAAAAATATCGGTATAATTAAAGAAAATTTCATATCAATACTAATTAACCGTTCCAAAGATTGTATCGGTATAGCTAATAAGAGATTTATTAGAGTTTATCAGTATAAGCAGTACAATATAATAGAATTGGTTTGGGTAAATGAAAATTCATCGGTATAAAGAATATCGGTATAAAGAGGTTTGACTGTATATATATAAATATATGTAAATAAGTGTATACTGTATATGAAAATATAAATAAATAAATGATGTAATAAAATAATTAATTCTTATCTTTATTTCTCTGAATTCAATGAATTTTTAATTGGTAACAATTTTTCATATATATTGTTAGCAAAAGGATCAGATATAGGGACGGGATCAGTGCAGATCATGTAACATGGCGCGATACATTAGTTTATGTATCAATGTGAAGAGGAAAGTTTAGGAAGTCTGTTGAAGTTTTGCATGACGCGACGTTAAATTGGTGGACACGTCGCAGCTAATATAAATAGAAGTAGGATTAGAGTAGTAATAGTGGTAGTCAATTGCAATCTAATTGTATAACCAAACCTGTATTTGCGCAACGATAATTAATAAACTTATTTTATTGAGATACTTGTTACCTAAAAAATCCAGTGGTAGCCAATATCAAGTCTATTGGTGAAGGATTGTGCCAGAAAAACAAGTGGGAAGAAGTAAAGTTAGAGAATTGTCATGTTAACAAGTACTTTTGGTATTGTAAGCGACACGACTCCTATGTATCAACAAATGGCAAACTTAGTTCTGAAGTGGTGACAGACTTGTCAGTATGGTTAACAATATAAAATACTTTGCCATCTATAATCATAATAGTATCTTCATACATTAACTGGATCATATTTTTGAAAGTATTCATCATAGAATCCAGATACTTAAACAACTTTATAATTACTACATATTAATATTATCCTATTAGGTACATACTTAAATAGAAGTAATTATCCTCTTTTCTCCAAGAATTCTCAAAACGCAGATATAGTTTTGAACGGCGCAGTAAATTCGGAGCGCCGTAGCTCAAAAACCAAGTTGCGAAGCTTCTTTGAGGTTCTAAGCAACTATTTGAGAAAAGACTAGAGAAATAACTTTTGTTAAGACCTCAAAGGTGATTATCTTACTGTTATTTTGAATAATTTCATTTTTTATCTTATGGATAAGAATTTTCTTTGATGATCATCCTAAGTGTAACAAATAACTCTCTAGCCAATTTTTTTTGTGTAAATAGATAAACCACACATAAATAATTAG